AGACTTAAAATCCTATCAATACGCGGCAATGGATAACTACAAGTTTTGGTAACAGAATTTAATTTGCGCCCGTCGAAAACAAAGCGATATTCGTCATTTGTTTTCTTAACAAGTAATACCGGCGAACACCAACCACTTTCTGACGGTTCAACTACCCCGGCCTCTATCATTTTATCTAACTCCGAATGCAAATGCTTCAATAAATAAGGAGACATCGGATACTGTCTCTGTCTAATTGGTTTTGCATCGCCCGTATCGATATTCACAATTATTTTATTTGTTATTCCTAACTTGCCCTTACAACTAACTTCTTTAAATGAATCTACTATCTCTGTCGCAATTATTTTTTCTTCCGCACTTAACTGAAATAATTTTCCAACCATATTATCCCTATTAACCTCAACATTATTGATTATATTTATTTCGGTTTTTGACTCTCCCACAACCCACGTTTTTCTTTTAAAATCTATTTTTAAAGAGAACTTCTCACAAAAATCAGATCCAAAAATGACTGGTTGATTAACGCTAGGCACAATTAATACTTTTATTAAATTTGAATAAGAACCAACGGATATAGGTAAATATGCGTAACTAGAAATGTTTTGTCTTTTACCATCCGCTGTAGTAACAAAATTTCCATCTAACTTATATGTTTTTAAGTTGTATTTGTGAATTAAATATAAACCGTTTTTGCCTATTATAGTATTATTACTGCCACTATCTAATAAAGCTACTATATTCTGATCATATAACTTAACTTTAATATATGGCCTGTTATCCAAATCTTTGTTAACAAAAACAGGGGCAATTTGATTAGACTTTTCATTTTTAAATTCTTTAAAAAAATTCCTACAAAAATTTAACCAACCTGACCACTCATCCTTATTACTGCTAAATTTACTTTGCTTACTGTTCAATAAATTTAGATTATTATTTTTCTTATTTGGTAAACCTAAATTACCACTATTTTTATTTCCGTAGCTTAAATAATGATTTTCATTAACCACCTCTACGTTTCTATTCGATTTACTTTGACACTTAGGGCAATTTGTTTTGGTAAACCCTTCTAAACCGCAAATAAAACAAAAAATGTTACGCCTCTCCCTACAATCTCTAAAATTATGATTTGGTTTTTTACAGTTCCAACAAACTAAATTTTTATCTTGTGACAGATAAGCTAGATCGGGTTCTAAACAAGCAATTTTTTTGTTAACAGGGTTCTGTTTTTTTCGCAAGTTATACGCCGCGTCTATTTTCCTACATAGTTTAGACAGATCATTGATATCTTTGATATCGTGTAAAGCTAGCTGAGTGATATAGTGAGGCTGCAAATTTTGTTTAATGTACTTTAACCTGATTGTTTCGTTTGGCGCATCTGTTAGTCTGTCAAATAAGGATTCCATGAAAGCAATGAAAATACAAACAGGCTCATTTCTACCCTGACATCTACTTTTAATTTCTTCCCAAAGTAAATCATCATAGTTATCTACTAAAAAATCCTCTTTTAATTTAACAATTAACTCATCCCAACTACTAATATTTGATTTTATCCTCCTAAACCATATCAACGCGTTACCTTCAAACAAATCAATACCTGAATTAAACAGTTCTTCATGCGAAACCTTTCTGGCGACCGATAGCTCTTCTATTCTTTCCAAAAATGAATTAATAGACATAGATTGTCCATCAAACTTAACGTTCCACTTGTAAACGGGTATAGATTTAATTGATTGTACTTGTGAAACATTTAGCGCGGTTTGATTAAATGTGGTCGAATTTAAGACTGAATCACTAGCAACACTTGAACATTTTTCTGAAAGTTCTGCCTTTAATTCGATACAGGTGGCATGCGATTCATTTTTAAACTCTACCCTATCCTCATCGTTATCTGTTGGAATTCTTTTAACCCTATTTGTGATACTAATTAACCTACTTTCTATTCTCTTATATTGTGTGTCAGTTGGAGGACCGTCGAATTCGTTAATTAACCCCGCAATTACCTCCAAAGTGTTATTAATAGTTTCTTTATCACTATCGAAATTAAACTTGGGATCATTTAATTCTAAATCGTCGACCGCATAAGTTTTTAAAAGTTCGTTTAAAATTTTTCGCTTAGATTTAATCTCCTTTTTTGAAGATTCTATACCCCGTATTCTCAATTCATAGTCTAGTTCATTACTAAGTAAATAACCTGGTCTCATTTCGCCCATTTTAATTTTATTTAATAAAACCAATCTAAATTACAGTATTCCAAACCAAAAGTGTAAATATAATAATTATGATATTTAACAATTATTGTTAAATATTTTCAATAAATTTAAAACAAACGTTTATAGTAAACAAAGTATTTAACACGAGAAATAATTGTAACCCGTTTTTTCTAAACGTAACTAATCGCAGTAAAATTTTTAACACCAACCGAAGACCTTGAAACTTTCAGCAATATATCTACCAAAAAACTTTTGTTTTTGTGTAAAAATATGTGTTTTTTTTTTTACACCCGTAAACTTTATAATAATTTCCCAATCAAAAATTTTAGATAATTCTCAGGAAAATACGAAACGTAAAATATACACCGTAAATAATTATTTTTGTGCGTAATATTTCATTTCACTCAAATTTAGGAACAAAAATTTTAATTAGCTAAACCGTTTAAATAATAAAAAGTATTTGGCTGCCTATAAAATATCAATTTAATAAATTTATTGAAAGGTTAATCAAAAATTAATCAATAACCACCTTTTCAAAGTTTAAGCTATCTAAAAATCTTATTTTCTCAACCTCAGAAAATCGGGGCCCCACGTTGTACGCGCCACTAAATATGTAACCAAATTAATGGTACATGGATTTCGGACACTCAGTGGTTAAGAGGAGAGCTGGGTTCGTGGATTATATTTTTACTAGAGGTTGAGAAAATTAAGATAAGTTGGGCACCAATTGTTTTTATTGAAAATAGTAGAGAAAAAAACAATAAAAAATAATACCAGTTCCAAATTTCGTCTGGCGTCGATGGTGTTCGTTCTTGGTTTTTTTTTCCTGATGGTGTTCTTTCTTGGTTTATTTTTCTGATGGTGTTCTTTATTCCAGAATTCTTTCTTGAACGGTTCTTTTTTCTTGGAAGGGCTGCTCCTGGTGAAGTCGGCGTAAGTATTCTTGCGACAGGAAACAGGCCACGTGAATTTGTAGAGAAACTTGTTTCTTCCCAGATTTTTCCAGTTGGAAACTTTTGTTGCAGACAGCAACCGTAATTGAAGTAGGATCGAAGTAGGATGTACAAAGTACACGGCAAAACCGTAATGGTACAAAAAAAATGGAGAAAATGGATATACCAAAAAAAGGAAAGTATATACCGAAAATGCATATACCGAAAAAGCATATACCGAAAAAGCCCTATGGGAGGAAAATAAAATAAATATTTGCCTTCAAAATAAATTAAAATAAACTTACAGATTTTTTCCGGCAATACAAAACTCACTTTTAATTAATTTGAAAGTGAAACTCAAAAAACTTATAAGCAGGTAGATACGCAAGACGCAATGCATCGAACATAAATGCCGTGATTTTAAATCCACACGTGCATCGAAGAATTCGGTGTGCGTGACAAAAAATTACTAATTATAAACCGCGCCAAATATTTAAATTAATTAGAAAGATAAGTATACCTTTAATATTTAATTTGATCAGGAGGATTTTGAAGACTGACTTCCCATTTAAATAAAACAATTGGATTTTAGAATAAGTTCAAAAATAAATGGATATTGATATAGTCAAAAGTTAACAAAATACCTAACTTTTATAAAAACTAAAAAAAAAGGTAAGTATTGATAAATTATTTTCAGTTTAACCATATAAACGACTCTTTATAATTTTAGTTTACTTTATGAATTCAAACAAAAATAAAAGGAAATTCCAAAAATAGGACAAAACATAAACAATTACTTTAAATTATTTATAACATAATATAGGCAACCAACATAACATTAATACATTTATTTAGTTTTTAAATAAAATACTTTTCAAGACTTAAACGTTGTATCATTAAAAATGAATTGTCGCATTAAGAAAAATTTAATGCTACAGGGGAAATATATATTTTGAATTAAAAGTAAATTAACATGCTGACCTAATTTATTTTTAGTAAGTCTTACAGGTATAGTGTTATAATGGGAAGTTTTATCTGTTTTAATGAGCTCGAAACCATAAACATTTATGGATATTAAATTTATTTTTTCAAATTTACCAATATCATTTAATTTCATAGGAAGCTCAATATTTCTAATTTAAAACATCCCTTTGTTTGAGTACAGGGCTGATGGCAAGGCCCATAAAAACAGGATTGATCTAAATTTTTAACATTAACACAAGCACTCTTTATTGCAATATATTTCGGTAACTTAATGTAAGAGGAACCACCATTGCCCAACTCATATTTATTAATATTCACTTAATTAATTTAAAATTTTATCTAAAACATAATGCACTGAGAGAAAGAAATATTTGTTAATAACGAGGCACGTTAACTATTAACATATCGATGAGTTGGATATGGCGAAAGAAATATTAATTTGGGTCTAAGAACTGGTTAAGTTGAATTGAAGAAGCTCGTAACGTATTAGCAAATGTAGATATATAAACTGTTAATATATCGAAATTCAGTTTTAAGAATATTTACAATTTGTCTCAAATGGCTTTTTTTCATATTAAATAAAATGTGTGTTGCCTATAGTTTTAAAATTATACTAGCAAATATGTAAAGTAATCAAAGTATTCTTGAACAGTTGAGAGAAATATTTTGAATTATTTTAATTAGTGGTTTTGTGTTTGTCTGAACTTGCTTTCGTCGTTTATATTAAATAAATAATTTTGTTACCAAATAAAACAATTTATTAGACATAATAGTTTTATTGTTAACACTGTTACAAAAATATATAAATAATAAACTTAATTATAACCTAAGAAATAATTATAATTATAACCTAAAAAATAATTTATTCCAAGTCTTGCTATCAAATAAAAGCCGTCCCCTGTTAAATGAACCTTTTATTGGTCGTCAAAATTTTGCATTGAAATCAAAGGAGAACAACCGATAGGCTGTTTTGTCCAGCATAATTAATTTTTAACCTTCCCTGTGGTTGTCGAATCCTATAGTTTCAAAATCTTTGTAAATTAAAAAAACTTGATTTGTGTCTGAAATTGCAATGTTGGTTATGATGCTAAAAGAGGGATTACCCTTAATGTTCCATTTAAAAAAATAATGTTTCCGGGCTTATACATCGTGTTGTTTAATTTTACAGACGCTATTTCCAAAACAGTGCCTGGAATGTTTGGAAACTTGTCAAAATCTATATTTTCTGATAAAAAAAACAATCGTACGACCGCTACTGACTTATATCAGTCCATTCCTCTTTACTTAAAAACCCATAGCACAACTTTAATTGTAAGTTAATCGCTAAACTGTTGGTAATATTTCGTCTAGATGTAATAATTTTTGCATATTTTTATGGAAAGCTTCAAATTTTGAACAGGATAAATATTTTACTGGTCCCATTCTTTGAAATATTTCCGGATAATGCACTAAAAAATGAAATTTAGCTTTAAGGGATTTTTCAAACAGCTTTAAATATGTTTTATTAAATGATTTGATGAGTTGCCTAAGATACTGTAAATCGTGTTCAGAAATTTAATTTTATTAAATCAATGATGTCATGAAGAATCAAGTATAACTCCCAGACAGGATCGTCTTCCGTTACCAAATCGCCTATTATAATTCCAAAATATGCTATAAGAGGTGACATTTCACCTGCAGTTGTAATCAAGCACCCATCCCGAATATGTTTTTCATTAATAAAATTTATTTTATTTCCGCGATCAATATTAACATAATCAAAATATTTTAATCGACTGTTTAATCGAGCTAATATAAAGTACTCAGAGTTTATTAGGTGTTTTATTATAACAGACATGGCATATCTACAAACTCCTAAATATGTATCATGCATTACAACTATGATATGACGCATTTTTCCTTGATGGCATAAGTTTGATTTTGTTAGTCTTCATTGTAATTTGTAATATTTCTGAAAGGCTCTGGATTTTCCACACATTGTTCGCTAGTAATAAATTTTGAAGCACGACATATTCTACAAAAGTACAAACTATTAAAACATTGTACAAAACCTAAAAGGTCGTTTACTGCTAAATTATCTCCTAAAATATTAAATTAAAAAAATTTGTTATGTTTTATGGTTAACGAGTCGACAAAAATTCAAATTCTTCAATAATTTTTTTAAAACAATTTTTGTTTCCAAACTTTTTTATCTGAAACATGGAATAATTGGGCTAAAAAAACTTCTCTTTCAGATGATGCATTTCTTGGTGGTAAAGCTGCAAGAGAAAAATATAATCCTCCCATTTTGTGCATTGAGTCCTGCCGATGGACTCAATGCATCGCTTATCTCGAAATCATCATAATACAAATTAAGAGGTATTATTGTATCGGTGCCACGTTTTGACACTATGTTTTCCCAAACTTTGCCTTAAAAAAGGCTTGTGTAAACTTTCCTGTCTAATGTTGTAACGCTATTTTCTTGTGACGCACTTACCTATTGGTTTGTCTAATACAAAATCTCGGGCGCCAGCTTCTTTTTTATTGTGGTGAAGCGCCACACCTAAGTAGTTTTTATGCAGTGGAAAAAGTAAAACCAGGGTTCAGTTAACAATGAAACTCAGGAGTAAATTTAATACGTATATTAACAACATAAAACGACTCTATTAACATGAAATGAAAACTCACTATATATAAAACACAAAACAAATATTACTTAAAGCAAACCAATAGTGTTTAGCGAGCGTGAGGGCGAGCAGGGGGAGGTAAACCGCCAAAATGGTGATTTAAAGGGAATGAGGTGAAAACGGCAATAGGTGATAAAAAATGCAAGCAATTAGTAGCAGCGAAATAATTGTGAATCAAAGCAATGGTGGGTAAATGGTCAAAAGGTCAAAGCAACGGCTACGCGCCTGGCTACTATTCGTAGACGGTAACCGAACGCGTGTAACGTTTTAAACAAATCTACAGTATCAGGTTATTATCTGCAAATCTACACTAATTAATACGACTATATTATAGCAAGGCACAGCAAAGCAGAGCAAATAGTTAAGTTCAATACAAAAGAATACTTTTACGTGTACTTACAAATCGGTAGGTCGCTTTATAATTCGGCTTGTCGGTGCGAAGGCGAAAACACAAGAGTGCTCCGTGTCCCCCGGGGGGACTCCCCCCGCCACTCTCCGCGTTCCACTTCCAGGCATCAGACCAGCGTGAGGCGCGCGCGCCTGTCCAGCTTAGTGTATCTTGCACAGCAACAGCGTATAAAATCATTCATAGTTAACTATGTATTTACAGCTTCCCAGACCCAATGATGACGGAGCGGCTTTCTCTAATTTTTAATATTCTCTAAATTATTAAATAATAATAATAAAGATTAAATAACTTCGTTACATTCCCCTCTTAAGCCTTGGTTTTTAAGAACATTCCGTTGCGAAAATCTCCGACGAAGTTCGTCGACGGAATGCGTTCGCGATTTCCGTTCGCGAAGTTTGTCTCGCCGTGTTTTTTAAACCATTATTTAAACCATTTCTTTGACCTTTTAATTCAACTGAAATAATGAATTTCAATTTGTAAATCATTATACACTAGGTGCTACGCTATGGATAATTTTCTACAGCTTTTATTATTGGAGGAAGAATTTGCAGAAGAAGAAGACGAGTTGCTGCTGGAGCTATTAAAAAATGAAGAACCGAACAACATTTTTAAAACAAGAGAATTAGAAGGATGTTATGAAATCTTAATTAAAAGACATTTATTAAAAAATGAAACAAAATTTCGGGAATATTTTCGATTGACGCCAGCTTTATTTGATGGAGTTCTAAATTATATAAAAAATGATATAGAAACGAAACCTTGCAATAGGCACACAAAACCAATTACACCGGAAGAAAAACTTAGTATAACTTTAAGGTAAGTAACTTTTTTTAGCACAAAATTAATATAACATTGTATTTTTTACAAAAATTGAATATAAAATAAATCATTATTGTTTTTTAATAAAGGGTTTCCTAATAACTAATTTAATACAGTGAATTCTGCTGAATCATTTGTATCACCTATTAGTGTCTGCACTGAATAATTGCTGTATGTTTGTCCATCGTAAGGTGTGTGTGGTATGGATTCGGACTGTGATGTAAGTGCGCTACTTGAAGAATGCGTGGGAGAAGATGATTGTGAAAAAGTGAGACCTGTTGAAGTTGTCCATGTATGAGAAAATTTGGAAGCAGTATTTGTTGAGTCTTGCTCTATGACTGATTGCATTTCTAATTCTCCTATAAGGTTACAAACCTTATTTCTTGCCTCTAACATTAGCCTCGGTGGCAATTTTTTCACAACAGCAGCCATGCTTTGAAAAAACAGGTCTATAGGATGAGAAGACTCGGATTGAGAACTTTTATCTTTGTTGAAGCTGCGAAGTAGTTCTAATCTCTCCTTTCTCCCCTTTCTCCCCTTTTGAATTTCCTTGAGGATTTCTCGTTTGGGAGTTAACTTCTTGGGGGGCTTCGAGGCGAGGTTTTTTTTTTATTTTTTTTTGTATATGTATCGGAGGCTGAGAAGTCGGTAAAGAACAAGCATTATCTTCTTTTGGGCTATCAGAATCACCTTCATGTGGAGATTCTGGATGCTGCTGCTTTTGCTGACATTCAAGTTCGGATATTTCTTGAAGATCTACTGGAATCTGTTCATCCTGATACGTTATTTCCTCAAGACCATCATCGCGTTCAGTTGAAGGGGTCTGAATACTTTGTGATTCGTCTTCTCTTTCAACATCCGTTGGTTTTTGTTTGGGTGTAGGTATATTAGTTTGTGTTCTGAAACAGTAAGCACAAATTATCATAAACCTACCGTCGTTCCACAAATGAATATTCCAGAAATTGCAAATCATCATATCTATTTCCACTTCTAGATCCAGCGGCAGATCCTGTACTTTTTTTTCCTTTCTTCCTCTGTCGTTGATAATAGTCACGAATGTGTTTCCACTTGTTCTTGCAATCTAAAACTTAACTAAAACTGTAATCTTGTTTTTAGATTCCTTGCTACAGGAGAATCGTATAGATCTCTCGCTTTTCAGTTTAGAATTAATCATAGCTGGATAAGTCTGATTGTTAAGGAAGTTCTACAGAGCATTTGCCGCAACATGCAACATGTTTATTTATCTCAACCTACAGAAGAACGCTTTAAAGAAATTGCAAAAGAATACTACACGCGCTGGAATTACCCCAACTGCTGTGGTGCTATTGACGGCAAACATATTCGCATAAAGTGTCCAAGTAATTCCGGATCTCTTTTTTTTAATTATAAGACATTTTATTCAATTGTGCTTTTGGCCATTGTCGATGCTCACTACCAATATGTTGCTGTTGATATTGGTTCATATGGTCGAGAAGGTGATGCTGGGATTTTTAGCAAATCTAACATTGGACAACAAATCACTAATGGTGATTTTCACATACCTCCCGAATCTCCTATACCTCATAGTAATATTATCCAGCCTCACGTTATTGTAGGAGATGAAGCATTTGCTCTTACTCAAACTATCATGAAGCCCTACCCTAAAAATCAGTCTAATACTGATTCCACCAAAGCCATATACAATTATCCACATAGCAGAGCCAGACGAACAACCGAAAATACATTCGGAATAATGTGTCAATATTTCCGAATATTTTTTAATCCAATTGCCATGAAACAACTGATAAATTAATATTATCATCATGCATTTTGCATAGTATGTTGAGAAATTCCAAAATTCCTTATCCAGGTGAAAACAATGACATTGATACTCCTGTTCGGCCCACAAACAATTTAATTAAATTAAACCCAACTGTTGAAAGACGACCAACATTTTTAGCCTATCAGGTACGAGAAACATTCAAACATTATTTTAATAGTCGAATTGGATCGGTTTCGTGGCAAAATAAACATATTAATCGCACACAGTAGTAAGTAACTATGTAGGGACCTGTTTTTGTAATATAATAAATAAAGTAAGATTTTGTTTCCTGTCCTAAGGTTTAATAGAAATATTTTGATGTATATTGTAAATAAATAACTAAATACTGGCATCTGTGAAATAATATTTGTTTTTCTACTCCTATTGCATATTATTGACATTATTAGGTTTTTTTCTTAAGTCCCTTATGCCCTTATGATAAGGGCATCTAATTTTTCCGGGAAAAATCGAAAAAACGGTATTATTTTAACAAGAAGCATGAGTGCTGGTGGTAACAAAAATCCGAGTCGAACACGAAAATTAATATTTAGAGCTAAAAATCTCAGAAACCTATTTTTTTCGTGTATAAAATTCTACCGCAACGAGGAAAAAAATTGAAACAAAAAAAAATTCGGTTTTTGACGATTTTGGAAATTTTAAAAAATCTTGAGCGCCCCTTAAAAAATTTTTTTTTGGTTATCTTTGTTGAGGGTTCTTAAGTTACATATTTTCATATGAGACTCATAAAAAAAATAGTCGGTTTTTTTGCGCTACCCTAATATACAGTATGTCCCCGGGTGGGGTTGCCAATAGGAAAAACTTTTTTATTACGCGTTTTACAGAAAAAAGTCATTCTTCATGTCTCAGAAATTAGAAAAACATGAAAATTCTTCACGAGAGAAGTACCTTTATAAATTATTTTATTGAATTTTTTTTTAAAAGAAAGTCGATACAATTCAAATTGAAGACTAAATACAAAATATATTTTTTTTATTTAAAAATTTTATCTAATTTTTATAAAAAAAATATTTTATTTTATTAAAAATTTTATAAGTGAAGGACCATGAAACTTCAATTTAAATAAAATTAAATTCTAAATACAAAATAAACAAAAAAATTATGAAAATATTATCAAAAAAAAATTCATAAAATTAAAATATTTTTTTTTTATTTTGTATTTAGACTTTAATTGTAGTCGAATTTCTTTTATAAAATTTTTTAATAAAATAATTTATAAAGGTACTTCTCTCATGAAGAATTTTCATGTTTTCTAATTTCTGAGCACCCCGTACATTTGATTCAAAATTTTTTGAGGGGGATGTCATTTTTTAAATAAGCAGGGGTTTTTATGAAGAATGACTTTTTTCTGTAAAACGCGTAATAAAAAAGTTTTTCCTATTGGCAACCCCATCCGGGGACATACTGTATATGTATATATTAAATACATTGAAATTTGATATTTTTTTATGTTTAAATTTTACATTTTGACATAAACTATCAAAGTAGGTATTTAATTAAACATTGAACAGAATGCCAATACTACATCAAACTTGCAAAAACTACCAGTCTCAATAAAAAAAACGATAAAATACTAGTTTATTACAATTTTAATTTTACTTACCACTTTTATTTAATTCCTGTGCAATTATTTTCCATATATTTTCTTTTAATTCTATATCCTTGTAACTTTTGTTTTTAACACCATACAAAGGAGGGTTTTTTTTCACTAGATCTATTAGTTTCTCCTCATCTTCATTGAAAAATTTCAACTGTTGGTAATATTTATTATTGGGCATATTTAAATTTTAAACTGTTTACTATGTTCACACCTCACGAGAAATGACAGCAGAATTCCGTTAAAACCTAATTATTTTGATAACAACGTCGGCGCATTCCGTTAAAACTAGGCCTTTAAAAAACGGCCGGCTTTCAAAGTACATTTTTAAATACGGCGAACTTCGCGAACGCATTCCGTCGACGAACTTCGTCGGCGATTTTCGCAACGGAATGTTCTTAAAAACCAAGGCTTTACTTCGGAAAAAAAAATTATTTCTATTTTTTTTTTCAAATCCCCGAATAAAATATTGATAAGTATATCGATGTGGCTCCCGTCCCGAGGCGGGACTTAAGTTCAGTCCCGATTGACGTCACACACTGTAAATCCGTTTTTATTCCCGGTCAACCTCGATGGCTTAGATGGTAGGGCGGTCGCTTGGCATGCGAGAGGTCCCGGGTTCGATCCCACTAGAAGTTGTCAAACTTTTTTTATTTTTTTTGTTTTATAAATTTGTTGTTTCTTTGTTAAAAAGTGTTTTAATTTTATCGTAACATAAATTTGCCCATTTTAGTTGGGTTTTTTGCTCAATGGGGCGGGGGGGGGGCCAATGGGGCGGGGTCGGTTGGGTTGTGTTGTTGAGTTTGGGTTGGTTTGGTTTTATGACGTAACTAAAGTGCCCTTAACATGTATACAGGTACAATTTATTATTATTATTATTTTATTATAACATAACAAATCTTAAAATTATGACGTCAATCGGAACTGAACTTGGGTCCCGCCTCGGGACGGGAGCCACAGCGTAAGTATATCCAAGTAACCCAATACCATCAGATATTAAACGGCAAAAAAAATCCAGCATTTACGTGCTATTTATATCTTATGAATTTATAAAATGTACCTTTACTTTTCACGGCGAAACGAACGGCAAGAAAAAAAACTTAAACGGCAAACTCTATAACGTCAAGTATTTTCAAACGGCATAGCTAAATTCACAAAACATTACCTTAAAACAAATATATTCACCTTCGGCTCGGCCTCAGCCGGAGGCCGCAGGACCCACAAAAATTGGGAAACCCGGATGTACCGTTGAGCCTGGCAATCCGGGCCCCGCAACGTTCGCAGAACCCCCCCTGGCCGCCCTCTCTCACCCGTGTTCCGGACACGGATGCGCAGCACTCGACTGACCTAACGGCAATCCGCCCACATCTAGAGCAAAACTCCACGTGTGTGTTTTGGGGCGGTCATTGCTCTTGACGGTGGCCGGGGTGCCCACACCTCCAACATTCGTCCTTCCCGGTCGGAAGGAACACATTTCGCCCCTCAAATCGAATCCCTGGGCAGGCTCGTGCGAGGGGCGCCGCCGCCGACTCGGGGACCCGCCTTGTCGGCAGGTTAAACGCCCTCGCTGGACCCATGGGGCCGGCCGCTGGGCTGGGGCTGCTGGTAGCCGAACTGGCCGGAGTTGCGGCAGCCTTCTGCTCCGCACCCCATATTTCACCGGGGCCCTGGTGATGGTGGCGACGGATGGGGCTGGCCGTTGGGCTGCTGGCGGCAGAACTGGCCGGAGTTGCGGCAGCCTGTTGCTCCGCACCCCATATTTCACCGGAGTCCTGCTGGTGGTGGCGACGGGCAGCTCTTTGGTGGCGACGGGTGGTTCCTCGGTGACGACTGGTGGTTCATATGTGGCGACGGGTGGTTCCTCGGTGGAGCCTCCAGGGTCCGTACCGAGCTGGGCAAGGCGATGCTTGCAGTGAGCGGATATATCAACAATTTAACAATGTAAAAGTTTAAATGCTCAGATCAGTATTTTCTTTGTCTAGTAAATATAGATATTTTATACCTATATAACTTTTGCTTGGTCCAGCACCGGGTAAATATAACTAGTAGTACACTTATTCACTATTTTGTAGGAGGTTTTCCATTAATTAAAAGTTGTTTTTCATTTATTTAATATACAAGGTGTCCCAAAAGGTCGGGGTATTTCATTTTTGAATAAAACAGAAAACAAAAAAAAATCTTCAATTTTTTTATTTTTATTTTGTAAATGACAGATGGCAAATTTACGTTGCAAAAATCACATTGTCTAAATGTGCACCCTTACGCTGCTGGCACTCTTCCAACCGCGAACCTAAATTGTCGATCACGCTACGACACATCACTATCGAAACTGCTGACATTTCGGCCCGGATATTTTGCTTTAATTGCTCCAAATTTCGCGGCCTGGGTTGATAAACTATCTCTTTCAGATATCCCCATAAGAAATAATCAAGCGGGCTTAAATCCGGACTTCTGGGGGGCCATCCAATGGTCCCTCTACGAGAAATGATTTTGTTGGGAAAAATTTCGTTCAAAACCTCGAGCGACGCTTGCGTAGTGTGGCAAGTGGCTCCATCTTGCTGAAACCATGTTCTCTGGTTAAATCCTCTAAATTGTTGGAGTTGAGGCACCTTCTGCGCGGTAAAGCCGTTGAGCCATGACGACTGAATCACCGTTCCGGTAATACGCACGTACACAAAAAGCGCGATGTCTTCCTGTATATTTTTCCATGGCTACTAAATCTCCAAACACTAGTCTACTACACTATACATACCCCTCGCCAGCTTCATGTATCGTTTTGTCAACAGGGCACATAGAAATACTCCCCACCCTTTTGGGACACCTTGTATTTTAAATCATCAAAATAAACAGGGAGCTAACTGTTATCGAACAACGATAACATGGCGGATTTCAGACGGCCAACTTAAAAAGTCACTAGTTTGCTCACTTCCAATACCAACTATTAATTTGACTATAAATAAAGTGACCATATTTTAAAGACTCAAATGACGGACGTTAGTATATATGCCAAGAGGCTCAGAGATAAAGAAGGTATAGGCTACAAAATATTATGAAATAGGTGTAAATTTAAAAAAAAGGAAAAAATCAAACGATCACAAGCTACTAATTTTAATAGATAAAATATATACATCCATAAATGCTAAAAATATAATATATACATATTATGTGAAATTGTATGTATATTAGAAATATTTTTCAGCAGTGTGAATTTTCTTAAGAAAATTGTTATTATCCTTAACTTTATTTAAAAATTCTTCGCATGACACTTGCATGTTGCATTTTACCAATAGCATGCATTTTAGAGTTTCTATAGATAACTGCGTTTTCTCTTCAGTCCGTATTTTGTTTATTATTGAGAAAACCCTTTCCGTGGGCGCATTAGTTCCGGGAAGACATAAGGAGAACTCAACAATTTTTATTAAATTTGAGCATGGTAAATCTTCAGAATAAAAATGTGAAAATACCTCTACCCATTTAAAACCAATTTCTTTAGATTCCTCTTTCCAAGCACACATTTTCTCCTGATTGACGTATGTTTTTAAAAGTGTTACTTCATCAAATAAATCATTTTCTGAAATATTATTTTGAGGAAAATGTTTGTTTATAACTTGCAGCGTACTTTGAACGTTTTGCCATTCAACGGGCCTTGTTAAGGTTGTCCATATCAAATTTTCAGCAATATTTAAATGAGTTGACCAGTTTTCTAAATAATGAAGGCAATTCGCATAGAAATTTTTTATTTGAGATTTGAACCAAGTTTCATTTATTTCTCCAACTTCAGTTAAATCGTGTAAAATTTTTCTCACGGATAAAGGAAGGAATTCTTTGGAAATCCTTTCATTTAACTTTGTTTTCAAATTGCCAACTTGTTGAAATATTTCGATAAGAGTTTTATTGTTGCCCTCAACGTTCTTGACAGTATCTGAGAATAATGCTGCCTGATTGTGAAGGAAGAGTAACCACAATTCAGATGTTGTATCCTTAAAAAATGTTTCTATGACTTTTGGACATTTTTCAATTGATAAAAAGTAAGATCTGAGAGGATCAAACAATTTTAAAATTCTGTCAATGGCTGGTAGCAACGCAAGCCATCTAGTTCTACTATATCCTAACAGTTTTTTATTTCCACATCCACATCAGCACAAAATTCTTTTAACCTTTCCGTTCTTACGGTATAAATATAAAAATGCGAATATATTTTAACAACAATACCTTCTATTTCCATTGGAAGCAAATCTGTTGCTGTTTGGATTGCATTATGAATAATATGTGCGGCGCAACCCACACCAATCAAATCTTGATTTAACTCATTTTTCAATCTATTAAAAATGTTATTTTCCCCTTTTCTGGAGACGCCACCGAAATTCGTGTTCGCATTGTCAGCGCAGTATGCCACCAATTTATTTTTTAATTTATGATTTGTTAATATTTTAACAATGGAATTAAAAATCATTTCCGATGTTTCTCCTGGTAGAGAAATAAAATCTAGAATTTTAACGTTTACGCCAGTGTTTCTATTGAAGTATCGAATCAAAGTGGGAAAAAGTTTAATTTCTTTATGGTTTGACGCATCTGAAAAAATTGATATATAGTGAGCTGATTCTAAGTCTGCCGCGAGCTCAGAGACAGCCAATGGGGCTATAACTTTTTTTATTATTGCTTCCGATTTCGTTCTTCGACACGCAAACTTTTTCTCAAATAAATTTTGTATTAATTTAGTAGTACAGTCCATTGACCTAAAAGATTGATGGTGCGCTACTGTATGAAATGAAAACACTGCTTCAGATAACGCCAATTTTTTTTCATTAGAACCAAATTCATCCCATTTAAAGAAATTCGTCATTTGGCTGGAGGAGGCGACGGATTGTAAAAATTTCTTGTGTTTATCGGATTCAATGTGTCTGTTTATATCACGTTTTCCTCCGTATGCGATGGAGAACTGACTGCGACATTTATCACAGTAAACTTCTGAGTCTAGTTTGGTTCGCTTTATAAAAGGAAATACTTTCATTAATTCATCCGTAAATTTACACATTCTTTTCGGAGCCATTATTTCATATCATATGAATCATACGTAAAGTAAATTAAACTGTAATAAACACAAGGTGAGTCGAGTGTTTTTAGGTAAATAAGGTGTAACTTACTTTTGAAAACAGCAAATAAAAAAAGCAGCCCAGCACAGCAAAGAATTCTCGTTCTAGCGGGGGATTACTCATAGTCTCTTTTTGCAAACGAACTACGAGTACCCGAGTGTACGAATGGACCTACTACTTTCTAAGCGGTCGGTAGTTCATTTAACTTGACGTTATTTTCGCATCGCATCTGATTTATGAATTTCTTAAGATGGATGTGGTGTAAGATAAAATACCTTATACAGTATAAGTTTATTGAGTATAAAATAATTAATAAATTGTAAAAAAACTAATATTCATAATTTATGAATCATAATGTCGGACAATTTGACGGACAATTTTCCATGCAAGACGTCAAGTCTGATTAACGGACGGTCCGTCAGAATGACGGACGAATGATCACTTTAACTATAAATTGGAAATAAACTCTTACAATTTTAAACTAGATAGAATACTTCAATTTCTTTGGTTTTAATTGTAACAAACAGCATAACCAAACACATTAGATTAATTAACATTTTTAACACCAAGCTTTAATGACATTCTACTATCCGTTAGCGGTGTTTCCGGTTTTATGTTTTACAGCGATAGCTTAGACCTATTGGCAGCACTGCAAATTGAAGCGTGAATGAACAACATTGCAAATAGAACTGCCATAGTTTAGTAATTAAAATTGTATTATTTCTCTACTCTAATTACCTTTATTATAATTTTTAGGAAGGAGAAATGCTTGATAAATGCTTATATATTTTAAATGAAGCGCGTGCTCGCGCACTTTGTAACTTTTCTCTACGCATATGTCTTATTAAGCATATATCGTTGGATTTTTCTAATATATTTAAAACCACACATTCAAAATCATTCTTATACCGCACAATATTAAACTAAGGTGGTTTTAATTCTTCTTGAAAATCATTACATCTTTTGTAAATTTCTTTATCAATTGTTGACGAATTAATTTTAATATAGCTTTATTTGACCTTCATAAAAATATAAATTTATATTTTTATGAAGGTCAAATAAAGCTGTACAAAAGTAATCTTCACTATGATTAGGAGGAAAAGTATAAGGGTTTCTTCTCGGCAACCTATTTTGTCCGCGGTTTTTTAAATCATTCAGAACAAAGTTTATACCACTTAAAAAAACTTTCAGCCTCGATTTCTCATTCGCGGTTAATATCTAAATCACAATTAATATTAATCTTATTAAATATTTTTTATAACTTTTACTAATTACATCATTATATTATATAAACAGAAAAACTGTTTGCAATACTCTTAGAGTGATATTAATATCTATGGCGGTTGACCTTGAGAGACGCTATGATATTATAACAAATATAATAGAATTTCTAGCCCAGAAATTCTTCTAAATATGTTAATAAATATCAGCATTGTTTACCCTATATAGTATGTTTTAGGTCGGCGAGTAATAGCGCGATTTGACGGATTTGAGACTTTTGCGCACCCAAGGTCATCCGCCATGAGATATTAATCGCTGTGGCTCCCGTCCCGAGGCGGGACTTAAGTTCAGTCCCGATTGACGTCACACACTGTAAATCCGTTTTTATTCCCCGAGATTTTATAATTTGTGTCAAGCTCGATGGCTTAGATGGTAGGGCGGTCGCTTGGCATGCGAGAGGTACCGGGTTCGATCCCACTAGAAGTTGTCAAACTTTTTTTATTTTTTTTATTTTATAAATTTGTTGTTTCTTTGTTAAAAAGTGTTTTATTTTTATCGTAACATAAATTTGCCCATTTTAGTTGGGTTTTTTGCTCAATGGGGCGGGGGGGGGCCCAATGGGGCGGGGTCGGTTTGGTTGTGTTGTTGAGTTTGGGTTGGTTTGGTTTTATGACGTAACTAAAGTGCCCTTAACATGTATACAGGTACAATTTATTATTATTAATATTTTATTATAACATAACAAATCTTAAAATTATGACGTCAATCGGGACTGAACTTAAGTCCCGCCTCGGGACGGGAGCCACAGCGGATATTAATAGCACTCTAAATGCTGATGGTGCAGTACGTGCTGGAATCTGTTAGAAGAACGGGCAATAAAAGTGTTAAGCTCAATACACAATTATCACAGTGCCTACATATAACTAACTAATCCTTGGGCCTTATGTAAATCAAATTATAGTATTCGAATGATAAGCAAGCAAGCACTGTGATGCATGAGATGAGGCATTTATGTATATAAACAGATTCCTGCAAACAAGTGTAAATAAAGCTTAAAATATATATTGGAGGTACTTGATTTAAGTAACAGATCAATAAAACATATAATAATCTTATTAATTATTTTATTAAGGATTAGATTTATTAGGTTATATTTTTTAACTATTTTATTATTAATTAATTTAATTTCTCTCATTTTATTTTTGTAAAATAGATTTAAATAAAATTAGTAATATACATATTTGTTTATAGTATGTCAATTGATCTTATAAAGCGGTGTTGGAAATTGAAGTGCTTTCAAGAAATGGAAAGAGTGCGTTTACATCGCAAAAATTTGCCGCAAAATAACAATGAGCTGCAAGTAGAGGCAGGTATAACGATACGCATATCGATATAATATCGATACATATTCTGCAAACACTGAATCGATATATCCTTTGCGTATCGTTAGTTTATATCGTTAATTTAAAAATCACGAATTAAGCAAAATAGAAAATATGCGAACGGAAAAAAGTTAAACCTAAAGACATAGATAACTTTCTCTGTCTATGGTTAAACTCTCTATATATTACTCTCTATATATTACTATCTATTACATTATTATAGTTTTTGTTATTTATTAGGTATTTATTCTGATCTGTGTTATTTTAAAAGGCGCAATTGGCCTTCTAAACTGATTTTTGTTTTTTTAATAAAGTTTATTTTTTTATTAAAACCAATTTCTTTTAAATTTAAACCTACAAAGAAAGAAACCGATTTTTTTTTATTCAGCTCGAGGCAATATAAAAATATCGATATTATCGATAATATTTTTTTTGTATCGATACTGTATCGATACACCCCCTGTATCGTTTTACCTGTCTCTAGCTGCAAGAAATCCATTACAACGGCCATGATCTAGACCTATTCGATCAATTTTACATTTTTTGGTTGCTGGAAGGAGGATTTGGGGATCATCCCTGCAATGATTGGAGTCACCCTGCTTGGCTCCAATTAATATTTTATATAATATTTAATTAAAAAAATATATTTATTATTTATTAAGTTATTATCTTGAAAATAAATTTAATTTTTGTTTAATATATTAAACTTATTAAACTTTGTAATGGGTAAGTCATTTAATACTAAGATTAGAAAAACTGGAATACAAGGGAAAGTAAGATGCAGTCAAATATCTTGAATGAACAGTCGTACGATGGATAAATAAAAAGTTGTATTTCCTAAAAAATAATATGTTTTAAAAACTTCAATATTTTATATTTATACTCAGGTATTGTACGTACACGAAAAAATATATTATATTATATAATCTTCTTAGGTAAAACTCTTGTATTCATTTGACAGTTCTGAGAAAAAGAAGAAGAAGAAAAGTTACTATCAATTCTGCCAACTCTGTTTTCTATCAGCTTGAATCATCTATGGCTCGAGATGAGCCTCTCAACCAGTATCGCCAACAGTTGTGGAACAAACTTTCATGTTCACCACACTATTAAAATGATTATGAGGATGTGATAAAAAATCATTTTGAACTAAACATTTATTAAAATTTGTTTATGAATTCATATATCTAAATATACTAGAGATGCCACGAATATTCGGCAACTATTCGGTATTCTGCTATTCGGCCACTTCTTTCGGTATTCGGCCGAATATTGCAAACTATTCGGCCGAATACCGAATAGCAAATCATGAAAAAAAAGAACTCAAAATATTACTCACAAATATGTTTAATTAACCAATAAATTAATATATTAATATTTAAAATCTACCAGTGGTAAGTTATGATAAATGAAAACAATTTTTTCAGCATTTGTTTTTGACAGACGATTGCGTTTTTTCTCATAAGATATACCTGCTTCCGGAAACAGCCGCTCACTATATACACTGGTACCGGGAGATGATAAATAAATATTAACAAATTGAGAAAGGGTTGGATATTTTTTGGCGTTTGCTGACCACCACTTGTAAGGGTCTGCTGTTCGATCTAAGCGAACAGATGACATGTAGAAATTAAGTTTATTTGCAACCGAACTTTTCTGTTCCACGCCCTCATCTGAATGTAAATTTTCTGCAGCGACTTCCAAAACAATTCCAGAAACCATCATGTGTCTCATTTTCATTGACATTCCTTCTCTTTCGAAGTGGAGATGAATTATCATCGGTGCTACTAGATTCATCACAACTCTTTATCAAAGCATCTAAAAAGATTTTTTGTTTTGCTTGTTGTGTTTGAACTACTTCCAAGAAACTAGTTTTAAAACGGGGGTCAAAAAAAGTGGCAAGCAGATATTTATTATTATTATTGAAGTTGAATCGTGCTTAAAGTTCAACTTGTAGTGAAGATCTCAATAAGTTTGGTGTTCTCTGTGCAGTCTCGTCCTTTCCCAGTATTTGACCAACGTGACAACATGTGGAATCACCTCAGAAATGCAAGAAATTCCCGAACTAGTTATTTTTGTGATTTCTTCGAACGGTTTGAGGAGTTTAATACATTGTTCCAATAAGTCCCATTGAGTAGGTGTTAAATTGCTTAGAGATTCATGGTCAGTTACATACCAAGAGATGGCTCGCTTTTGTTCTAATATTCGCTCCATTAAATAATACGTCGAATTCCAATGTGTGCTTACATCTTGTACTAATTGGTGATCTGGCAATTTAAGTTCTTGACGAATGTATTTCAGCTTTTCTTGTGCTATACCTGAGTGGTTAAAATGAGTTACAATTCGTTTTGCAGCGG